AGAATTATACAAATAGTAAGAGATTGAGAATGGAAAATTCGAACGTACCTTTTACCCGCTGTATTGGATAAGTTGGAATAAATGTGATGAATATAATAGCGCATGCTAAACTCATTGTGACTTTCTTCACGACAATCAAAGTAGGCGATGGCTCTAAAATAATCTCCTTTTCTTTGGTATTTTTGTCGTAGAAACCCTAAAATCAAAAATCATTATTTCTACTTATTTCAGTTTTAATAAAACTTGAATATTTATTCAGTGGAATAATCAATGTATTGAAGGTAGTTGTCTCGCAGTCTTTTTTTTAGTCTAAAAGTTAAGTCTTTCAAAAAAAAGTTTAAAAAAAAACTCAAATAATGAAGTTTAGATATCATGACACATTATTTAATTTATTATACGAACAATTTATTACTAAAAAGGATCAATCGAAAGTTTAATAATAATTTCAAAGTAATTAATAAATTAATTTCTCAGATATTACAATTCAATAAAGATATAGCGAAAATTTTGATCAATTTGTAAGAAGTTCATTTTGCGAGACAACTACCTTAACGTAAGTGATAAAAGGATTTTGATTTATTGAGAAATTCTTGATATCATGTGCTTTCGACTTATATTACTTATATATTACCAAACATTACGCTGCATTATATATTATATAAATAACAAAATTTCTGGCAAGTTCTGCGAAGCTGGCAAGTGTGCAATTTACGACATTAAGCTACGTCACCACTGCTTTTTATTTTAAGAGAAAGAACGCATTCTAAAAGAATCAGCATAGTACATCAACACCAATGTTCTTACCGCTAAAGATTTCGCGCCAGGCAAATGATGTCCGTGTATAAAATCGATGTAATCGCGATAAACTATCACTGGGCCAGCCATCAGTGCTTGAAAGTGAAAGACGTAGCTAAAATATTCCAACGTGGTTGGCATTTTCCTGCAAAATTAAACATTGAATATAATACTTTTCTGTGATGTCGTATTGTTATAAATAATAAAATTCGAGAATATTCACGTGTTCCGTTTGCGCCGTTTCATTAACGTTTCATTTCTGTCAAGAAATTTCGAGAAATCTGTGTCAAAATCGAAAGTCAATTTTCCTTCAGATATATGCTTGTATTTCCTACGCTTTACGCATGATTGAATTTTAATGTCGAAAAACAGTTGCCTTTGCAGTCGCCTATCAGTCTCGCAGTGCTTTACGTTCTTGATGTTTTTTTATGCTCGATATAAATAACGCCGCGCGCGGGGCCCGTTTAAAGAGTACGTGCACTCACTGTACAGCCTGATAACGCTGCATCGGTGTCAACTCCTCTTCGCGTCGCGTTAGCCCATCGTGAATGTTGTACGCTAGACTAGTTACTTTCTGCGTTATAACCATGAGAGGACCTGAAAAGGACATACATGTTACAAAAGCGACGAGAATAATAACCACGACTTATCGCGGTAACGCCGAAACATTGCAAACGAAGCGCATTGGTGTGCGCACAATAGCAGAATATAATAGACGCTCAATAGTCAATATCGCATGCATATGCATTCGGAATATCACGCTGAATGCGGCTCAATTTATAAAACGCCGTTTGTAACGAGATAACGGAAGTGGATTTATAAGCGGAATAATCGGTAGGAAGAATTCAAGTGCGCAAAATTGATATTGAAAAATCGTTGCATCCGGTCGTAAGATTTGTGTTATCGGATGCTTTGAAAGAATATAAAAATGTCTTATCACTTCCGTATTATTAGTTGACTTAAGATGTCGTAAAATGTTTATGCAGCAACGCTTGCAAAAACATTGATCAGTAGCGTGTATATTTATGTATTGTAATTTATAAAAATTGATACATTCATAACAAATATTTTTCTATATTTAGAAGAATTTTAATTAAACTTTCTTCCATTTAAATTCTTCGTCGATTATTGCGCGGCGTAAATCGAAAGTTATAGAGAATAAGCTAACATTTTTTTTTTCAAATGCAAAAAATCAAATTGGTGAATTAAGCTGAGCGAGATTATGAGTTGAACGCACCGGTGATGTCGAGCGTGTACGAGCCGTAATCATAGATCTGTCGATGAAAGTGAATGCACGATAAGTAGATCAACGCTACTGCGAGGACGACCCTGAAACACATTCAAACGGACGGGAGTCAAGTTCGTGCAGCCATCATCGTTGGTCATCGCGCGATTTGCGCTGGGTCAAACGTGGTTAATTCGACAATAAGCGCGTGATTCGTCACGCGATGAATGCAAACGATCGTGCAAAGTGTGTTTTTTTCCTTGCACTTTATCTGGCCTTGTTAATACTGTAACAAGCGTGCGATATCACAGTGATACTTTGCTTCTTTTTTAAATTAATTAAGCGTGAGATGTTGTTGTCGATTCCAATAAAGCGTGAGATTGATTTTTGTCCATTAAAAATAATTTTTAAAAACAAACGGATTATCATCGCGTTATGTTAAATATTATAATTAACGATTGATACCACGCTTGAATATTCAAGGCATGTATTTATATTTAAATTACCTCTGCATGTTATGTGGATTTTGTGTGCGTATCGCTATGTAACACAGCGCGGGAAGACCAGCGAGATGAATTGCTTGCCTGGAAAAATATTGATAATTCAACGTTGAACCTTCTTGTTAAAATAGTCGCATACTCGATAGCACAATGCAAAACAATTGCGATTGCAAAAATTAAAAAGAATTGTATGACTCGGAACGGAATCGCGTATCGAATGCTCGCTTGCTTATTTGCCTGCAATTTCATAAAACTAGATGGACGTTAAATCTTGGAATATAATTAATTCAGATAATGTATTGTTGTAGAAAAACTTGTAGAGCACAAGTGAAAATCTCTTCAAATCGTACAGTTATTTTGGATTACAATATCATTTCGTACAAGATAAAAAAATTTCCATACTTTTATGTACAATAAGTGGGAATGTGGACCTACCTGCCGAAACAAAAATATCCAAGAGCAAGGCCAATAGTGAGGCCGTAGACATGTCTGGCAGCTGGACTGGCGGCGATGGGACTCAAAGATGATCTTAATAATCCGGCTAGTATAAGCGCTGTGAATTGCGTCAAGACGAAATTTACCTGCATAACAGAAGAAACGGATTCGATCAGCGCTGCACTTTCTTCAATCCTTCATATATTTTAACAATAATTTATATAAAATACTTAATTTTTATGATTATATAATTTGTAAAATTTGTACAGAGTGTAATCTCTCTTTCTTTCTTCCTCCCCTATTTTAAATTTAACAAAAATTAGAAGTACATCGAAACAGGTGTACACGAGTGCGAGAATGTTTCTTTTTTTAGTATCATTCAAGCCCAAGTAGAAACCTGTTGTAGAAGAAAGCCTGGCCCTGAATATTTTTCCCCGAATATAGCTTGGATCTGTCCGGAAAATTTAGCTTGGATCCATGTGAAATGGAGAACGGCATGGACGAATCCTTTATCTAAAATGTACCCAAATCCAGGCTTGTTTCCAGTTCTTCTTAGAAATTATCCTGGAATCCCCGGGAGCCCTAGGGATCCCTAGGGCCCCCGTTAGAATAACCTGAAGGTTCAGAATAAAAATACTGGTTTTTCCCTGATCGGACCCGGCTAGATCCAGGAAAAAGACAGATAGATATTTTTTAACCAAAACCTGGGAAAAATCGTGGAAAATTTACAGCGAGAAGCCAGAACCTGTTTGGATTTTCCAAGCTAATATTTCCCATACGGGGCCCGTATATATTCAGGGAAGATCGAGGGAAATTTCTACCTCGGAGTAATAGAAGTTTTCAATCCTTATTCAAATTCTCTTAATCGAAATGTAAGTAGAAATTACCAATAAATACGCCGAGGCAATTCCAACACAGCTAACAATGTTCATAACATATGTTCGATGCGTCTCAAGCTAAATCAGAAGTTGTTTAATCAGAATAAAATTACAAATATCAAAGTTTAAAAAAAGACACAGAGAGGGGCAGTGGAGAGAGAGAGGAGAGAGGGAGGAGGGGGGAGAGAGAGAGAGAGAGAGAGAGAGAGAAAGAGAGGGAGAGAG